GTGGGGGGGGGGGGGGTTAGGCGCGGGGGTGGGGTGGCGGGGGGGGGGGGGGGGCCAGGCTGGGACCCCATGCTGATGATTTTCATGCAAAGGAATGCTGAGTTCCAGGCAAAAGCGTCAGCCTGGGGCTTAGCCGAGCTCTGGGCCCAGCACAAAGTAGGCTGTTGAATTCACTGAGATAAGGGACCCAGGATTTTATTAAGAGGCTTGGCCTCAATAATGAAGCTGCTGTGAGCGGCATGCTGGATCTGCATATGTAGGGCCCAAACTGTTACCGTGATTCTAAGAACCCAGAGTTCTTGGTAACTGTTATTCTTAGCGAGGCGGTGCAGGCAGAACTCACTGGAGACATGGCCGTCCGACCGATCGATGGCTGGCACAACGGCACAGTACAAGAGCACTTTCACTCTATTTAGTCGCAAGCACTTCCACACGTCTGCAACAATTAGTAAAACACCCCCAGAATCAATAACTACCGAAGGCTGGAGCTGGCTTCGAGTGGTATAAGGACAGCCGGTCGATTGGCCAGTCTTTTGCCTGCCGTTGGGGATCCTCTCATGTGCCCACGAAGTGCTCCCGCAGAGTCCACCGACCCCAGACTGTCTCTCCTTGTTTGTTTGGCTTAGTGTAACAACAGGTCAATAAAAAAACTTGTTAAACAGTTTCAAAGTTTAAATGAGGTTTCCTCAAACCATTAGTTAGATGTGTTTCTGCAGAGTCCGCATGTCTTGAGGGCCCTGACAAACACATCCCAAAGAGCAGATGTCGATCATCTTCCTGTTTTTCTAAAACACATACCTCAGCAATTTCACCAGAGCTCTTACCAGGAAGGACAGTGGCTCCCCTCCCTCCTACACCCCCCCCCCCGCTTGCTCAGCTATGCTAAGGCTGTTGCAGAGGCCTGCTAAAATCTACTGATTTCGCTGCTTTTAGCAATAAGGATGCTAATCAATATTCCAATTATTGGTAATGCTAGTCCGTCAAGATCTCCCCATACAAAAGGACACGGTTTTGCATGCATCACCCATTTTCCCACTGGCTCCAGCAGAACCTCTGAGAGCCAGTGTTTGCCCCTGGCTTTCACAGACAGGCTGTGCTGGAATAAACCTGCTGCTCCCCCACGCGCTGCTCGTTGCTGGCCGGTCATCTCCATTTGAAAGGGACCCCACCGCATTCAGTAGAGGGGTGTTACTGGGTGCAAGGTCATCGAGAAGTGCAGTCTAAGCCCTTCCCCAGTTCCCACTGCATCATGTACTTTTATTGACTGAAAGAGGCTTGTGAATATGTCTGCCTGTGGTGGTGGGGGGGGGGGGTGGGGCTGCAGCAGATCCAGGCTGATCACAGGCCATCCCGCCCACTCGCCGCCTGAACAGGGGAGTGTTTGGCAGGGAGCAAGGCCCTGAATCATCCCCCCTTTGGATGTGCCCTGGTGTAGGGAGTGGAGATGCTTCTATGACAAAGCGCAGTATCAGCTGGCTATGGGACAACAGGCTCCTGTGAGACACTATCGCTCGGGGGAGTGCCCTGTAACCCCCATGTTTCTATTTATGTATAATTGTGATCTTGTATATAAAGCATGCCTTGTAAGACTTCAGGGGAAAGGTTATGAGCTGCTGAAAGTCACTGTTCTATCTAAATATGTATATCATTAGTGCATATGAAGTTGTGAGATTGTGTTGTATGGTCGTCAGTAAAACAGGCTGTAAGTTGGGGAATCGACCAGATATTATCTCCCCAGAGACAACAGCAAGAAAAGTAACTAATGTCCGGGCAGGTGTCGGACAACCATCAACAGCCATTGTCCAGTAAGGGAGCTACAAATCAATGACTCACCTGCATAAGGCCATACTAGGGGAATTGCTCAACCTTGCCTGCGGACTCAGCAATGCCCCCCAGACATGCCTGGACTTGTGTTCTCCAAGCACATGGACTGAGGCTTTGGCTACCCTGGCGCTGTACAGCGCTGCAACTTGCACTCAGAGAGGTGGAGTACATACGCGCTGGTGGCGCGACTACACTCGTGCTTCACAGCGCTGCCGCGGCCAAGTATAGTCAAGCCCTAAGGGTATAAAACAGAACCGGGGGCCCCATGCTTGGCCTTTCTCCTTCCCCCACCTACATTGCAACTAGCAACAAGGATACTGAGAACACTGAAAACTCCAACAGAGGAGACTGGCCCAGGTTTCAAGGGTGATACCTATGTACTATGAACTGCAATATCCGGCAGGGTGAGAAAACTGCTTAATCTAGTTATTGCCCAGTCTAACAGGGTTGAGAGTTTAGACGGCGTGCTTGTATGTTCTTTTTTTTTTGGTAAGCACTCTGACTTTTTGCCTATCACTTAAAATCTATCTTTTATAGTCAATAAACTTGTTTTACTGTTTATCTTTAGCAGTGAGTTTGCCTGAAGTGGTTGGTAAATCTGTTCAGGTTTACAAAGGCTGGTGTCTAGCCACTCTCCATTGATGAAGTGGTGAACCAATTAATAAACTTGCACTGCTCGTCTTGAGCAGTGCAAGATGGTATATTCCTGAGGTACAAGGCTGGGAGCTGGGGCAGTTTGGTTGGTGCCTTTCTCTGTGTGATCCATGAGTGGCTGTGGGAGCATTCATGCAATCTATACTCCTGGGGGAATTCTGCGCCACTGTGCATGCACAGAATTTATGTCCCCTGCCGACTTTCTAATGGGGAAGCAAAGGGAAGCCACAAGAGCGGTCATGTGACCCTCCCCAGCAGTATGTTTTGGGTGCCCAGGGAAGCCGGCAGAGAGGTAAACTGTGGGGAGGAGGCGGGACGGGGGAAGACTCGGCTGGTGGCTCCTCCCCTGAGATGGGCTCAGCTGCTTCTCCTGGCTGGGCTGGGGAGGACGGGACTTCCTTTTCTCTTGCACAGCATCCGGGGCCAGGTCAGACCCACCCCCAGATTTCTCGCTGGCTGCAGGACCAGGAAGCTCTGCAAACTCCCCTCCCACCCCCCGCTTCCTGCAGCCATTGCTTCTTAGCTGCAGGGGGAGGGATCCCTGTACAGGGAGCTGCTCCACCATCTGCCCAACCCCTGTGCATCCAAACCCCCTCATCCCCAGACCCTCCTGCAGAGCCTCACCCCCCCCCCCCCCCCCCACCCCCCCCCCCACGCCCCCCC